CATCTCAGTATAAAGATGGCCGACATGGATTAATTGCGGTGCCTAGCAACTGACCAGCCTTACCATGCGTCCAACGCAGTACATCCGCAACCCTCAGCTGAATGTAAGAAAAAAAAAACGAAACGAATAGCAAGGAAATCAACAAAATGACCGTCCACCATCGCAAGCTGCTGTTAGTGCTGACAAGTGACATCCTCGAAAAGCCATTGACTAGAGCAAACGATACATTCTCAATGATGTCGATGTGTTTAGTAGTGAATATTGTTTGGAGCTACCCGATAACTTTGTCTTCCGTACAAGCCAAAGACAATTTGGAGGCTGTGGCAAAATGTCGTCAGTGGAGGTGAATTGGTGGAAGCCGATGACACCAAATTTTTTAAATCAAAATTCCCTGCCATCCCACGTGCATGGTTAAAAATCCAAAAAATCCCAACAACCCAATGGCTGCAAATCCCAACAATCAATCCCGGACACACACCCTTTTAGCACGCTTGTAATCGCATGATGTGTTTGAATGATGTGACGGATGTATGATGTGAATGATATGATGAATGCCATGCATGATATGATACGATATGATGTGCTATGATATGATATGAATGCCAATAATAACGAATGCTATGTTATTTCAATCTAAACATCTTAACCATCCCCGATCAGTTAATCGGCGAAGTTTAAAGACGCATTTTACATCAGAGGTCACCTAGCGGCGGCATTTCTCAATCTTGCTGTCGTGTGGGACAACGAGACCATTGGCCAGAGCCCGGCTCGAGTCCGTGGCATTTGGAGGCGTTCGGAGACAAATGCTCTTCCAGTGGAGCTGCGCCAACCACCCGGTCTCTACGTTGTTCTATGCTCGGCTTTACACGATCTGGCATCCCGCACACCAGATTGCACAGCGTTTCTGAGACGAGCTACACGACGAGCTACACCAACTGCAAATATCTGATGAGGGTTTCCTTAGACGTTGCTGGCGCCAACCTGTGGATCTTGTCGTGGACGATTGCCCACAAATTCGCGATAGGTGACGTCTCAGTTACTTAATGCGCAAGCGCGCTCCTTTGCTGAGAGATAGCCTGTGACATGTCCGGAAGAGGTTTTAGCTCGCATAATGGGCCTTCCTCTTTCGCCGGTGCACCGCAGACATCGCGTCTTTTTCAGCACGTCCTCCAAGTAGCATTCCGCTGTGACGGTTTGCCCTCGGTGGGCGACATGCAGGTCAGACAGACAGACAGACAGACCTCAAATGCATCGTGTGTTCCGACACCACCACTCTGCCGATTGGGTGGGTAAAAGAGTTTGAAAAAGACCTGTCTGGGAAGAGAAGAAATCTCATATCCCCGACGGTCCAGTTCTTGAGAGCTATAGCGAACTCCAGCCGCTCGTTGCTCTGCGCGTCTGTCAGTGCGGGCTGCCGGTGCAGTTTGAGTGACTTCAAACGCGGACATGTCTGCAAATGCCTGCGCACGATGGAATTCGTCATCTGGTGCTGCCCAGTCTTCAGCCTTCGAGAACCGGTTTTCAAGAAGACTGGTCCCACTTTACGACTGACTTCGCCACGACGATGTTAGCCACCGCGCCCATTAAACCTGTCCTTAAGCGACTCGTGCTGCTTTCCACGGACTGTCCCTTGCGGTCGCACAACATCCAGCAATGTATGGTTGGCTAGCTCACGCCCATGCTCCGGTAACTTGACCCTACGTGGTTGCGCCGTTCACGCATGGCAGCGGGTCGATACTATCCTTCTCTTTGACCATGGTGGACACCGGGTCCGCACGTCCTGGGTAGGTCTTTTGAACTGACCTCCATCGCCTTTCTCGCAGCATGGGCCATGTCGCCCAGCGGGATCACGCGACAAACGGGCACGCGAAGATGGTCTAGGCCGGGTCCCATTAACATTTCATTTGTGTTGCGACCGTGCACGGAAAGCGATTCAATGGTGCCAAATGGTCATCCTGCAATTTAACAATCTGTAGCGTGTCACTCGCTACAAAAAGTGCAACCATTCGGAAGAGGAACAGCCCTACGTCGCATGGCCCGTTTTGACACAGTCCACCTAAGGAGCCACCGACTGTGCTTCGAGAAACTGTCTGTAGCCATGACGTGCTCTCTCAGCCGCACGCCAGTATGCTCCTCCCACAGGTTCACGGCGGACTCTTGGGATCAGATCTGACAAGTGGGCGTCTTGGCATGGAAGCATGCACATTGCACGGCGCTCAGTACACGATACCAGCCCCCGCTTCACTGTCACGTGGCGCTACGTGTCTCTCTTTCAGCAACCTTTGTTTAATTCGTACTCACTGTTCTCCACGCGCCATGTCCGTCGAGTGGGTCTGCCCGCAACCTTCCTATGTCGCTGAGCTCCGGCTACGACGTGGAGGGGCTCTGTCGCGGCCCACTCTCGCGCTGCGCTTGCCACGCACGGACTGGTTCCGAGGGCCCTGCCATTTGGGCTCGGCCGCGGCGCCCGCGGGCACACGCCAAGGTCCTGTCAGGGTATTCATCGGTGAGCGAGTGAAACGGCCGCCGGTCTTTCGGGAACTCGCAGCGCACCAAGTGCTGCCATCTATGTGAGATATGTGTTACTGGACGGTTATATGAACAATTGCCTGCGGCTGTCAACTCATATCATTGATGGAGCTTGGCATACTGATAACGGTCGTGCATCTAGTTTTCCGACACACTCCAGTGGTCTAAAAGTTCGAGTTTGTCGCACCAAAACTACTCTCTGGAACTGCGCCAAATGGGAGCGTTTGGCATGCCGATAAAGATGCTGCATCTCGCTTTCAGCCGGATTTTGACGTTTTGGGCCTTACTTTGACAACTGTCGTTTAAGTCACTGGGCCCGGATCCCCATATGTTTGCCAACATTAATACTAGTTTTTGCTTGCATTAATGCTAGTAGGGCTAGACATGCTGGTCACGATAGTTCAATCTCTCTTTTTCGCTATATTAAGAAACATGGCCACCAGTTGTCTACAAAGAGTCTCGTCGTTACACCGGTATCCAACGATGGGCACTCCATTGTGAAAAATTGTTTGGCATGGTTATTTCAATAGCGTATCTCGTTTTCTCCTACATCCGAAACCTTGACCGCCTGAGGTTTCAAAATTCCGAGGTCATTGAAGCTGATCCACTACGATTCCTCTAAGATAATATTAATTGAACCATTTGATATCCTTATTACAACGGTGCATGTCGATTGCAGCAAAACTAAAACCTTTACCTCAATGGGTCAAACAGTCCAAATCACTGACTTATTTCTAAATAGCCTAGGAGCCCTGTTAAAACCTGTATATAACATTGATGGGGCACAGTGGCAGACGCCCACCAGGCAACACAGGCCGCGCCAGGCTTGAAGCATGCCTAAGGTATGGTGGAGGGTATCATGATTGTTGGGGTGGGGCTTCAAGCACACTTGTGGTTTTCGTAAGGGAATATGGCCTCGTGGGGGCCTGCATGATGGGCGTCATTCCCCACTGCTTCCTGCCGTCGGTTGGAATCCTACCTTGTACACAGCTGCTCAAAAAACGGCTGTCGAGGTCATTCACCGTTTCTTTCGCAGTTGAGGATCGGAAATCTAGCTGTAGAATAAGCTTAAACCTGAGACCACGGCAAGGCCCGAGAGTGGAACAAGACTGCTTTTGTGATTGGAGTGTCCCATTGTCTAGGGCCGGTGTGCCCGCATTCTTCGCAGCAGCAGTTATTCTGGCATTAATTGAATGACATTGCATTAATGAACATTTTGGTTGTGCGCATGATATTGTAAGCTGCGGTAATGAAAGAGGCTTTCAGGGGTGCGCCGATTCTTGATAACGCTGCTGGGCATCGACGCCATTGCCATCTCATGTCATAAGGTGTCCTGTTACGTTGCTGGCGACAACTTTGTGCGCAGATATTCAGTTGGCGGCCAAAAATACACCTCTAATACACCTGGTGTGGTGCACCCATCCGGCACGATATAGTTGCCTGCAAACTCTTTTTTAATCTGCTAAATCTACGATCCTACGTTGCACGCTGCGACATTCCAGTGGCTCAAAACGAGACTCACCATCGCAATAAGCATGCAAGTTACATCACTGTCAGTAGTTGGAGAATCAGCAAAGGAAGCATGATCATCATCATCAAAGGAAACCTAATCGAGCTTCGACCCGATAAGGAAAGAAAAAATAGTATAGTGTTCTCCTCTTTGCACCATACCACGTGCGTGCGATGCAGTTGAGGGAGTACTAGACTTTTAAGCGCCGGGTTCGCTAGGCCTTTATATGGTCTTTGTAATCCAGGCAACGATCCACTTGCACGCCCATGAAACGAAGAACGGGCTCCGATGGCATCGTTTCGCCATAGAGTCCAATCGCAGCCTGTGGGTTCGATGACTTCAAACTTTATAGACCTCTTAGAGGTCATATTTCGCAACTGGCTCGAAGCAATCATTATCGGCATGCACCATCATTATCGGCATGTCAGGATCTTCTATTGATAAGCGCATAAGAAGACGTGATGGGTCGGGGTTCCATAAATTTTAGCTTTGTAAGCTTCTGGAGATCATAATTTTAAATGTTCCTCGAGTGGAAATGCGCCATCGTAATCGGCATGTGGAGCCGAATCACATTGGCTTTCGCCTTGGTTTTGAAGTGTCTGGACATTTCTTGTATTTCTAGCTCATACTGAGTTTCTTCCGTGAGCCAGACAGCAAACATGCTCAAACCGTTCTTTCGTATTTGCATTTGGACTCAAATTCCATACATTTTGAAGTACATCGCATGCAGTTTTTCTTTAGCGGGAACATAGTACGCTAAAATGTCCGATATATCGCCCGTTGATCCATACTCATCCAGGAAACTGACCAGACCTTGGATCCGATCACAAGATTTTTCAGCTCGTTTGTGGCAACTTTCTGGCAAAAGCTTCTTGTGGCAAAACTTTCCTGGAATGCTCTCAAGGCCTACAAAGGCGTTAAAGGTAGCCCTCCAATCTTCATACCTGCCTGACTTACCCGTGCAGACCGAGACTTAGAGCGTCACCCACGAGACAGGTTTTCATTGCGGTATTCAAAGTTTTCCTGGAATGCTCCTGAAGCTTACAAAGGCGTCAAAGGCTGCCCTTCTGTATTCATGTCTGCCTGGCTCACCTCTACAGACCGGTAGCTGTGGACTATTCAAGCCGTACTTCGCTCAGGCCACTCTCACCTGACCGTCGTCCCGAGCTGACGCGCGTGAGCTGCAATCGTCAGCGACATTGCTGGCATCACATGGGTCATATTGCACCTGCGCAGACGTCCAACGTGGCCTCACCTTATGCTGGTGCGTGGCGTCGTTTATTCGCTTGTCGATTATCGCGGACGCTGTGGTCCATATTGATTTGTTCACTAGACGACAACACCAGACGTCTTTCACAAATTTCGTTGAATAGCGTCTTACCCAGCCCATGCATTTTCTCCCTTATTTCTACCTTCATTTGATTTTCTGCAGCTCATCATTTCTGTTATTTCTAGCATCTCATCGCCAGCTTTGTCTAGTTCGGCACTTGTTTGGAAGAGCTTCATAGCCGTTATGCTATGAAATATTATGCCTTACTCTCTTTAGATTCGCTACATTTGCCAACCCAGCTTGAACGGTCCCGCTAGGAGAAACATTTAAGCCTATAGTCTCATTCTGGCTGCAATACATCCTGCTACGCTACATTCTTCTTCGCTCTTCACCCATCTGCTAAAAAGTTTTTGCCGGTACGTTAAAGGGAACGTTCCACACTTGAAAATTATTGAGGCAAACAACATACGTGATGAAAGATACTCACTTAAAAGTACTGGTATACTTTTGCCTAGGATAGACTGCTCTACACAACACAGTTTCTCTGTAAAGTAAGTATGCTGCTCAGCACGTCTTTATTTGATTGTGTCATCATACCCCGAATCACACTGACCGAGAACCGATTAACAATCGTTACATCTGAAAATCGTGCTCACGAACTCCAGATCCAAAAGAATATCAAGATTTGAACGACGCTGCTATGGAATCATGCTTGCCTGCCTGACCTAGAAATAGTCTGTTTTAGATAGTTCTCCCATCCTCCCGATTACGCAGCTCAGAAACCTAAGTAGTTTAGGTCTTAAGAACGGCAGGGCTGCACAGAATGCACCGAATTATGTTCAAAATGGATATTCGGCTTAAAATCCCTAAAAATGTGGAACACTTCTTTTGACATCGCAATACATCACATACTACCATGGTTTTTATATCTGGGTCACATGCACCAAAGCTCTATGTGATGTCTGGGTCGGCGTGCTTGGTTTGACCCATCAGGACATTTACCTTGCATTGCGAACGGTTTCTGTAACACATATTGGTTAAGAAACTTTCACACTTAGCAGAAGAATACTACCTAAGCAAGGAGACAGCACAGCAGTATACATTTCGAGCAGGTACACAGATGATCAGAAACTGCACGACCCATACTAACATGACACCACTTAGCCATCACCCACCGAGAGCGCCACCTCACGGCATACCGGTGGCGCCACCACGTGGCCGCCCGGCTTATAATGCTCAACAACGCAACTCGTTATATCACACTGATAAGACTGAAGCGTCGCTTCTCTTAGCGGGATGACGAAGATAAGAAACTCTAACAACAAGCATGGCGACGGTGCAGCAACAAAGCCACAACATAGCCCACAATGCGGATGTAATCGCGCGGTTAGGGTGAATATCCCTGTAGCAAAACTGGGAAATATATGAAAGCGGCTGCAGCCAAAAAGGAAGATGGAAAAACTCTTATCAAAAGGTGAACCGATACCCAAAAGAAACGCTAAGCACTGTAGAACAATGACCAGCTTTGAAGCTGCCTGGTCGCGCCGGCACCCAACCACCTCCCGTTCAGACCAGTCAATAGCCAGGTGCCCCCCGCGGGGCCGTGCAGAAGACTCAGTCACGTGACCCCGGCGATCACTTCGGCAGGGGGGGGGGGACACCCAAGTCCTAGAAAACCGAGCGTTCGGTGGCATACAAACAGAGGCGTTACATATCATCTGATAATCTGCCGAACAGCCGAGAAGCAATGCTTTAATTTTTCAAAACGCCACCGATTCACTCGCTATTTCTGTATTGATGCCTCATTCTGCACAATTGTAACATTATTTTATACACACTCGTTCACGATCACCTTCCAAATACCGCAAGTTTTTATGGCAGGCAGATTTTTTCTTTAAAACGATTCTCGTTCACAAGAATTATACCTTACACTAAGTGTATGTTAACCCGGGTTAATGCACCGCAGGAAAATTGTAGCCAGCTGTATTGAACCAGTTTTGCATCCGGCCGACAGTCTTCAAGCTTTTACCGTGCCAGATTAACAGCCATTTAATTTGTTGTTAATACCCAACATTTTGAGAATGTAGGACGATGTGACATCACAAAGGATTCTTGACTCTGTGCCCATATCTTCTCTTATGGTTCGAAAACAATACAAGTTTTTATCACGCACGTTGACCCTGCACATAAC